TTAAAAAAGATGATGCCTGCTTTTCTTGCAGAAGAATCAGATTGGAAATGATTGTGAGAACATACACTGCCAAGAACTGTTTTGCCGTTTATTTACATTTATAGCCTGTTTTGTTCCAAAATCCCTGACCCAGCAATGTTCTTTCATTGCCATCATTGTCATGATCATCCTCACACATATTGTAAAAAGCCAAACATTAACAAACAACTGTAAAAACAAAAACAAACAAACAAAAAGCAAAGTGCTGCCTATAAACCATCCCACAGCACTTAAAGCAATCTCTTGGTGGTGTATAAGTACGCAGGCTACACCTTACCCCTGCAGCATGCTGGATATTCAATGTACTGATCTCGGAAAGATAGGAGGATGATTGAACCTTGAGCGGGCTACCTGGGATTCAACCCTGGATCATGAGCACAATTTTGGCTGCAATACAGCCATTTAACCACTGCGCCATGAGGCTCTATTATTGTACCACAGGGCTCTTACTAAATCCTAAATAGTAAAAGGTAAAAAGTAGAAGCATCGAAGCTAATTTGAACCTGTATAATTTGTGACTTGTAGTCTTCCCTTCCCCACTATGAGTCCAAAAAAAAATACTTGCTATTTTCAGTTAGGGACTTATTGCTCCTTAGATTTCCTCCCCCCTCAAATCCAGCCCTCTCAGCATGACAAAAACACAGTATGAGCATTCAGCTACTCCATTAAAATGTCCAAACTTTTCCCTGCCCTCAACCTTCTCTGAAGCAGTTTGCCTTAATCCTTTTTTGCATCTGTACCTGCAGTGATCATAGAAGACCAAGGTGCCAAATTCTGGGGTCTTTCTTACTATATTTTTCCTAATTTGTGCAAAGTATACATGTAATTTGGGAAAAACCATCACTGGAAAGTATGAATTTCTGGCCTTCTTATGCATTAATGCCAGGATTTTTCTAACAGAGGGCCCCAAGACTCAGGGCAAAAGAGACATTGAGGGAAACACACCATCCCCATACATCCTCCCACAATCGTATTTTCTTATAAGTACTCACACTTTGAAGAGACAAAAAAGTTATGGAACCTTAAAGACTAGCTGCTGCATTTTAATGTGAGCTCTCATGAACATGTCCACTTCCTCCAACGTAAGAGTGAGACTGTATTACAGTGGTGCCTCGCTTAACGAGTGCCCCGCACAGCGATGTTTTCGTATAGCGAAGGTTAATCCGGAACGCTATACTGGGCACCACTGTACTGTGATATTTACATATGGCCCCATGCCCAACTAGGGATACAGACAATGGGCAAAGTAAACATGGTTGGATAGTAACAGAACAGGCTGCCAGACTGTGAATACCTTTGATTATTGGTCTACAAGGAAAAGAAGATCTGGAAAAATTCCATTGGGATTTCAGTAACTTTCATCCTGTTAACCTCAGCCTAGACCAATCTATACAACAGGTACTCTTTCTGAAGACTACTGTGAAGCTACAAAATGGACATCTTAGCTCCATGTTATATTGAAAACTCACCAAGAAATAAACATACTTGCATGCCTCCAGCTTCCATCCTGAGCATGTCAAAAACCTGTTGTCTATAACCAAGCCCTTATGTCTCAACACATCTGCTTAGACCTGCAAGGTAGAGACACCAAACTCATGGATCTGCAAAAGGCATTTCTAAGATTATGTTGCCCACCTGGCCAAGACATACCTATAAACAACCTACTTCAAAATAGACCCAGCAGAGGCCATTGTTAGCCGCCTAGAGTGGTCTTCATCCCAAGACATACCTATAAACAACCTACTTCAAGATAGACCCAGCAGAGGCCGTTGTTAGCCGCCTAGAGTGGTCCTCATCCGACCAGATAGGCGGGATATAAATAAAATAAAATAAATAAATTGTTATCTTGCGGACTAATAACTGAAATTATTCACAGCCTGACAGCCTTTTACATTGCTAATGAACCATTGTCACTGTCCATTAATTGTATCCCCAACCGGTCATGGGGATGTGTATAAATATGGAAGGTACATGGTCTTCCTCCTGTATCTGAGGAAGTGGACTTAATCCAAAAAAGCTTACATTAAAACACAGCAGTTTTGTGTCTTACTTTTAAGTTGTTGGTTTGGTTTGGCCTGCAAAAGCTTACATTAAAATACAGCAGTTTTGTGTCTTACTTTTAAATTGTTGGTTTGGTTTGGCCCAATATGCTTACATGGGCTAATACAGCTGCTTCTTTGGAACCCATAAAAAGTAAGTTCAGTTCAGTTTCCCTAACCAATCATAAAACAAGGCATGCTAAATCCAAGATATGAAGGTGAAGAGAGCCTTGTGCCATGACAGATGTCTTTCACTACTCAAGGTACCTCTTCTAAAATCAACTACTTGTGTTAATTACTTTGACCATCCACATTCTAGCTCACCTTCCAGTCTGCTGGACCCAAATTGAGAGTAAATGAATAAAAGGTATTAAGTCCAAACAATGTACTTTTGGATTGTCAACTTGATATCTACTGGTCATTGGTAATGGCAAGGCAAGAAATTTACTAAAACAGGACTCATATATTAAACATCTAAATAATTTATCTACCAGCAAAAAAATTGTGTCCTTGGTATGACTTTTTTTACAGGTCATCCAAGGTTATTTAACGTATATACCAGCCAATAGTGCAATATGCACTCTATGGATGGTTGACAGTGAACACATAAAGACACAAAAACAGTACAACTATAAATATTAACAGACAATAAACAATGTAATATACTAAAACCCACAAATGCAGTGGTACAGTATCTGTTTGATGATAAATTAGATACTATTGGGCAAAATCATATTTTATAACTTTGTCCTAACATGAATTGGGGTGCCAGAAATAATTAATTTAAAACTTCTTATTCCCCTTGCCCTGTTTCAGCTTCCGAGGCTCCTTAGGGCTCCCTTTTTCCCTAGGGAAGCCTTTGGGAGTTTTGGGAAGCAGGAGAGGGCGACTTTAAAAGTAAAAAATCGCTGCTAGATCATGGCCACCATTTCTGATCCCAGTGAGACTGGGAGTACTTGGGATAAACAGATATAACTACCTTAGATGGTAGATACAGATGTAATTTGAAAGCTCACACCTCATTTAGTCTAACATTCCTGTTCCAGAAAAGGATGACAAGGGTTTTTTATTTAGCAGACTTCTAGGGGCAAATAGATATAGGGTTTTTCATGAAGGTTTTCCACAAGGACATTCTGTGTTCCCAATATGATCGCTAGTGCTGCAGCTGGGTCCTGTCTTTATTTTGGCACACTTTAAACTAGAGATGTCATGAAGCTGTGTACATGTGCAGCTGCCTTTCATTCAAACCACAAAATATACACACACAGGTGTTCTGTCTTCTGATAGAACCACACTCTTTGTGCTGCTTTTATTTTTAAGAAATTGAAAAGTAATAGCATTCGCTTTACCTAGCTGGGTCCTGTCTTTATTTTGGCACACTTTAAACTAGAGATATTATGAAGCTGTGTACATGTGCAGCTGCCTTTCATTCAAACCACAAAATATACACACACAGGTGTTCTGTCTTCTGATAGAACCACACTCTTTGTGCTGCTTTTATTTTTAAGAAATTGAAAAGCAATAGCATTCACTTTACCTTAAATATATACAGTATATTGTCACCATCCTTCTCACTATCACCATCATCAGTATCATCAGGATGTGGGTTGACAAAAATTGTTTCTGGATTACATTCATTGGCTGACTGGGCAGCTCAGAGAGTTAGTTACCTGGCCAGGAAGCCAGTGGTCAGAAGTTTGGTTCTCTTACTGTGCCAGCCTGTATAGTCTTGAATAAACTCCATGGCCCCAGGAGAGCACTGGCCATGTGACCATGGAAGATTGTCTTCGGACAAAAACACTGGCTCTATGGCTTGGAAACGGGGATGAGCACCGCCCCCTAGAGTCGAACACGACTGGACAAAAATTGTCAAGGGGAACCTTTACCTTTTACTTTTACCTTTACCTTAAATATATATATTGTCACCATCCTTGTCACTATCATCATCATCAGTATCATCAGGATGTGGGTTGGCAAAAGTTGTTTCTGGATTACATTCATTGGCTGACTGGGCAGCTCAGAGATTTAGTTACCTGGCCAGGAAGTCAGTGGTCAGAAGTTTGATTATCTTACTGTGCTAGCCTGTATAGTCTTGAATAAATTCCATGGTCCCAGGATACCCCTGGAACAAGAGAATGGTAAACCACTTCTGAGTATTCTTTATCTATACAGTATATCCCTAGAATGGTTCATCATATATTGGAATCAACTTGAGAGCAAGTAATTACAATTAATTAAGTCAAAATACCCTCTCCTACATATATGAGCAACCATTACAGTATAATTTGAATGGACATGTAGTAGTGTAATTAGATTACAGTATTTTAGACACACAGTTTAATGACCTTATGACGGAGTACTCTTTAGAGGCTGATGAATTACTTTGCTTACTTTAAAATGTGGCAATCTACACCGGTTGTGTTTGATGTTCTCCGGTTCATTCTGCTAAGTGGTGCCTTGGATGTTTACTGCATGAACGCCACACCTGATGACACCATGGTTCGAATGCAAAGTTGAGTTAGATTCTTTGTGGTGGGTCCCAACCTCTCCTGACCTATTTGCCTCCCCAATTTCTGTCTTCTTTTCCCATGTGTCTAAAAGCAGTATAGAACTTTCCCATCATTCTGTGGGCTAAATATGTAAATTTCCTTCTGCGTATCCACAACAAGCTTTGCCTTTTTAAAATCCTTTATGAGCTTTGTAGCTCTCCTCTGGATTTTGCTGTCCCGTTGAAAATTGTCAACAATTTTCTTGAATTGAATTATTGAACAATATTCTTAGATTAGCTAGTATTGTTGGTAATTGTCCTCTCAAGAGAGTTATGTGAGCTATTGATTTACTTCTTTCATTTTTAGCAATGTAAAAGTTATTTGCTTTCCCTTTGAGATAATTAAAGTTAATTCTGTGTCTTTGTGCATGCAGGCACAATTCTTTCAGGAGACATTTGCCAAGACAAATGCAGGTGTCCAGCGTTGATTTTAACATGGGGACAGATCCAGTTTTACAAAGAGGAGAAACAACTACCAGCATTGGAAGGATAAAACCTGAGCTTTACAAACAGAAATCTGTGGATTCTGAAGGCAAGAAAGAAGATGTGAAAACCTGTGGAAAACTTAACTTTACCCTCAAGTATGATTATGAGAATGAACTGCTGTTGGTGACTATTGTAAAAGCTTTGGAGTTACCAGCTAAAGACTTCACGGGTACATCTGATCCCTATGTGAAAATCTACCTTCTTCCAGACAGAAAAAAGAAATTTCAGACACGGGTTCACCGCAAAACTTTAAACCCTGTCTTTGATGAAACTTTTCAGTTTCCTGTAGCCTACGATCAGCTTTGCAACCGGAAACTACATTTCAGTGTGTATGATTTTGACAGGTTTTCTAGACATGATATGATTGGAGAAGTTATTCTTGATAACTTCTTCGAAGTCTCTGATCTATCTCGGGAGGCTTCAGTATGGAAAGACATCCATTGTGCCACTTCTGTAAGTACCACATCGCAAAACATGTTCTGTTAGGAATATTAGTTTGTGATATATTTTTACATCAGCATACTCAGGACCACTTCAGAGACGCTCTTTTCTTCCTCAATAATTGCCACGTAGAACATTGGTATGTATACCTAGTAGCCAGGAATCTGGGTGCAGAGTTCGAGGCTGGGAGTTCAACTTCCCACTGTGACTCCAAACCCACGTAGAACATTGGTATGTATACCTAGTGAGCCAGGTACTGTATCTGGGTGCAGAGTTCGAGGTTGGGAGTTTAACTGTGACTCCAATCTGTGTAGCCTTGGGCAAGCTGCTCAGTCCCAGAAGAAGGGAATGGTAAACCTCTTGTGAGTACTCTATGTAATGGAAATGGTCACCATAAGTTAGAATTGACTTAACAGCACATAAATATCAGTATTATAGTGAACACAAGTGTTTTTAACCACGCCTTGCCTCAGATCTTCTCTTTCAGGAACACTGTTTACTTATTATATTTATATCCAGCTTTTCCACTAGTGAGCTCAAGATGCTCTTGTTTACTTATTATATTTATATCCAGCTTTTTCCCCAGTGAGCTCAAGATGCTCTTCAAATCCAAATAATAATTATTGATATAGATCAGTCTGAGACTGTAGACTGGCCCAAGGTCACAACTTAAGTCCCAGTCTAACATTGTAACCATAACAGCACACTATATAGGAAAGGGCAGAAAGAACTACTCATCCCCATATAGACTCAACCTCACATCTGTCACGGATTTGGTGACAGTAGAAATGCGTAGAGTTATTGAAGACACTTACATTTTTATCCAGCAGCCATTTTGGAACCGCCAATCAGCTGTTGGGAAATCATCGCTATGCGAAAATCGGTAAGCGAAACAGCTTACCTATCATCGCAAAGCGATTTTTTCCCATTAAAAACATTGCAATGCGATCGCAAAAACAATCGCAAAAACTTAATCGCTATGCGGATTCATCGTTAAACGGGTTGCCCGTTAAGCAAGGCACCACTGTAATAATTATTGATATAGATCAGTCTGAGACTGTAGACTGGCCCAAGGTCACAACTTAAGTCCCAGTCTAACATTGTAACCATAACAGCACACTATATAGGAAAGGGCAATAAAAACTACTTATCCCCATATAGACTCAACCTCATATCCAGTGTAAAAGCAGTGTGTCAATTCCTAAACTTTGTCATCATTCAGGCCATTACTGTTCACAAAGATAGTTTAATATTCCTTTGTGTCCCAGCAGCAAATCATCAAAAAAACTGAACAACTCCCGACATTCAAAAGCAGAGAACTCACATATTCAGACCTGAGAGACTGGGATACAGAGATAATCTCTTTCTGAGACTGTTAGAAGGGCTGGCATCTGAAACAACAATTAGTTTTAATACTTGAGCTTTCTCTTAGAAAATGTCCAGTGCTGATACCTCTCTCTAAGAAAGAATTAAATGAAACATGATTCAATGGCAGTAAAGGCCATAAAATAAAAGAGGGGGAAATGAAAAGAAAAGACAGTGAGGTAGATTTGCTATGTATTTATTTACTTGAAGCAATTTAAATATTAGAAATGAGAAACAAACCACAAATTAAACATAATGCTATAGACACCCACAAATTGCTTATGGAGCTCGTCTGCTGACACATGGAAGCTTGAAGAGGAAGGTCTTCAAGGCCTACCTAAAATTGGAAGTTGAAAGGATGTTATGTATATTTACTGGAAGAGATTTTCAGTAGTTTGGGGCCACTGGTGAGAAGGCCCAACATGTGATGCATGCTAACCTCATTGGTCTCAACTGTGGATGCTGAAGAAGGAGGGATCTTGATATACAGGTAGTACTTCAAGTAAGATAGTCTCAAACCATTAAAGAATTATAAATTTAATCCAGCTTTGAGCTTTATCTTTATAGTGAACTGGCTGGAAAGCTTGTCATTTTCACTGCAGTTCTTTTTAGCATTCAGGTGCAAGGTGAATAATGTTCCGCCATTAATACTTGAACATTCCGGGACCAGTGGCTGCATAAGCAAAGTATCAGCCATGTAAGGAGCGAAGCTGTTGGGATAACACATGACTGTGTGAACCTGTTTAGGAGAATGAGGCAGCGACCACCAGAGTCAGTTAACCCAGTAGCATTTATTAAAACATGTGCAGATACAAAGTCTAAAGATTCCCCTTGACATTTAGTCCAGTCGTGTCTGACTAGGGAGTGGTGCTCATCCCCATCTCCAAGCCGTAGAGTGAGCGATTGTCCGAAGACAGTTTCTATGGTCACGTGGCCAGTGCGACTGGACACGGAACGCCGTTACCTTCCCATCATGGTGGTACCTATTTATTTACTTGCATTTACATGCTTTCAAACTGCTAGGTTGGCAGGACCTGGGACCAGTGATGGGAGCTAATTCCATCACGTGGATTCGATCTTACGACTACTGGTCTTCTGACCTTGCAGCACAGAGGCTTCTGTGGTTTAACTCGCAGCGCCACCATGTACCACATGATAGCATTTGCCAAATAATTCCTTCTCCCTCATCTTGACGTGCACATTGTTGGGATGGGAAATCCAAGGACAGCATATAGATGAAGGAAAGGTGAATAGTTGAGCAGTGGGGCAATTATTTTCAAGGCTGACCTCTGTCCATTTTTCCATCCAGGCCTTCTCTGTCATCTGTTTTTCACATTACTATATTATCTCCAGCGCCGAGTTCAGATGCGGTGCTCATCTCCGTCTCCAAGCCGTAGAGCCAGCGATTGTCCGTAGACAGTTTCTGTGGTCATGTGGCCAGCGCAACTAGACACGGAACACCGTTGCCTTCCCACCGTGGTGGTACCTATTTATCTACTCGCATTTACATGCTTTCAAACTACTAGGTTGGCAGGTGCTGGGACAAGTGACGGGAGGTGGATTCGATCTTATGTTGGCTGGTCTTCTGACTTTGCAGCACAGAGGCTTCTGCGGTTTAACCCGCAGCAGCACCACGTCCCACATGATACAAAGTCTAGCATTTGCTAAATAATTCCTTCTCCCTCATCTTTACGTGCACGTTGTTGGGATGGGAAATCAAAGGACAGCATATAGATGAAAGAAAGGTGAATAGTTGAGCAGTGGATCAATTATTTTCAAGGCTGACCTCTGTCCATTTTTCCATCCAGGCCTTCTCTGTCATCTGTTTTTCACATTACTATATTATCTCCAGCGCCGAGTTCAGACTTGGAGATTTTTCCAGCCACTGAGGACTGTGTTCTAAAAGGGGGTGGGGGGGCTTAACAGGATCATCTATGGCTGTCCCACTGTCCTTCAACATTGTTTCAGGCAACCCCTAATCCCATTTGACATTCTTATGGGTCTTGATCACTGGGCTCCTCTTTAGCCGGGATGATTTCTGTCACATTCTTAATCACATTCACTCCTCTTTAACTACAGTTAAAGAAGACATTTGGGTCTTGTGCAGAGCTATAGATGCTTTGAAGTGCATGCCAAGGAGGCTAGCGAGTCTCCCAGCTACGTACAAATAGGGAATTGTAACCACTGCACATTTAATAGAGGTCATGCTTTCAAACCAACCATAAATTAATACATTGGGAGGATATTTGCTGCATTAAATGCAATATGAAGGCCAAATAATGCAATATAAAGGATCATCTACATATCCCAAATAGGTAGTGGTCTGTGCATCCATAACTAAAGCCAATGTTAATTTAGTGTTATTTGTGATGGGGGTGGGAAGATATTATTGTTTTTATGTGCTCTCAAGTTGTTTCCCAATTAATGTCAAACCTATGAATTAATAACCTTCAAAATGTCCCCTCATTGACAGCCTGCTCAGGTATTGCAAACTGAAGGCTGTTGCTTCTTTTATTGAGTCAGTCAATCTCATGTAAGTTCATTCCCTTTCCCGACTGTCTTTTACTTTTCCCAGCACTATTCCCTCTTCTGGTGAATCTTACCTTCTAATGAAATGGGCAAAGTATAATATCTCCCATTTAGTCATTTTAGCTTCTTCTACAGTCCAGGCTTGATTTAACCTAGAACCCATTTGTCTTTCTAGCAGTGCATGGTATCTGTAAAGCTGTTCAACAAAATCGCATTTTGAATTATTTTTTCCACCTAGCTTTCTTCATTGTCCAATTTTCACATCCATATCTAGTGATCGGGAATATGTGGTATGGATGATATTGGCCTTGGGCTCCAGCAACATGTTCTTATACTTAAGGATCTTTTCTAATTCGCTCATAGCTACCCTTTCATATCTCAATATTTTTCTGATGATTGGCTCCAGTCTTCAACTAAGAATGGGAATATACTGTACTCATCCTTAAAAACAGTACAGAATTTTAAGCGTGATTTGAGACACTGTGACCAAGATACTGTATGTTACATGCACCAATGCAACTCCACTGATACAACTTTGAAGTGCTGCAAGTTAATAAGTTAGCATAGGTGTGGCCTATCATATACAAGTTATATGACTCAGTGTACAGAAAATGCCTACATTAACTCCTTGCAATGGTTCACCACTGAAAATTATACCAATGATCTTGCATCAGCAGGCATGATGAATAGTATTTTGGCCTATGCTGAGCTTCCATGAATATCCATCACCTTGAAGAAAACTATAAAGAGACGTATTTCATTGTAAATTGGCCACCTCAGATATAGATTGGTGTCCTGTCTACGTGGACATATGAATAGTATTTTGGCCTATGCTGAGCTTATATTAATTTTTGGGTCTTATATTAATTTTTGCTCCAAAAATGCATTAGGGCTTATTTTCAGGGGATGTTTTGTTTTTTTCATGTACAACAATCTAAATACAGTCATGTCATCTTCTGGTTGCTGCAGAATGGTGGAAGGTGGACTTTCACTTAACTAGGGCTTATTTTGGGGTTTGGGCTTATGAGCATCATAAAAAATCATACTAGGGCTTATTTTCAGGTTAGGTCTTATTTTCAGGGAAACAGGGTAAGAGTAGTGTGAAGCAAAGCCAACATATTACTAGTTCTACACTACAGCATGAGCATCATAAAAAAATCATACTAGGGCTTATTTTCAGGTTAGGTCATATTTTCGGGGAAACAGGGTAAGAGTAATGTGAAGCAAAGCCAACATATTACTATGTAGTTCTACACTACAGCTGATGGCTTGCAAGCCCAGTCTATCTTTGTAATAATTTTGTCTTGTTTTTGGTTGCTCTGCAAAATGTTAATCAAGGTATGGTAACATACTTGCCAACAGATGTTGCCATAAGAGTGCAAAATAAATATTTTCAGGCTATAATACATCTCCCCTTTACATGCTATGCCAGAATGCAAAGTCTCTGTTGTAGTTAACTTCATTACTGAACTTGTGGGGTGCTAGTTTTCCAGAGCAAAATGCAATTCTTTTGGCTACAGTTCCCTGAAGTGGTACAGCAGACTTTTTATAGAGTTCTTCCAACCCTTACTGCTTGGATTGGATATGGACCAGAGGCACTGAGCATTCAAAAATCTACACATGACCATATGATTGCTAATGCAATAGAGAAAATATGTGTATTTGAAAAAACATACATATGAAAATGCACATTTCAAATCTGTAGAAAACATAAGACAAGCATACACGGAATAGCAAGATAAGCAATGCAGGGAAATAATGCATATAAAGTAAAGCAAAGTATAGTAGAGTGCATAGTTTTTAAATTGTGCAAAAAAGATATGCATGTCAAACCATTAAAATAGATACCCATACCTGATAGAAGGTAGCAGAGATGGGAAAAGAAGGAAGTCTATGGATGTAGACACCCCACCTGAAAATTAAGTCTCTCATCCCTGCTGAATCACCAGTGTGGTTCTTAACCTTTGTTACTCGGATGCTTTTGAACTGCAACTCCCAGAAACCCCAGTGAGGACAGCTGGTGGTGAAGGCTTCTGGGAGTTGCAGTCCAAAACTCCTGAGTAACCCAAGGTTAAGAACCACTGGTGTAGTGGATACAGTGATAGACCTAAGACTCAGTTGACTTGGGTTTAAATATCTGCTTGGCTCTAAAAACTCTCTGGGATGGTAGTGGTAAAACTATTCTTTATGTCATATACCATGAAAACCATATTAAGGTCACCATAAGTTAGATGCAACTTGATAGCGTATAACAACAGAGCCCTGCCCCTGAAAGTCCGGCACTCTTCTAGGTCCTCGAAACAAGTTGTCTCTAACTCTGCTTAACATTAAATACTGAATGTTATGTCAAAGTTATTACTGAAAATATTAACTCTTTCAAATTGCCTTTGATCACTCCCACCCCAGTTAATGTTCAACTGCATATCAGTTCAATAGTATCCTCAGGGCCACTCAAGATGCTAATTTTTTATTCAATTGCCACTTAGAAGACTGCTATATACTGTATACTGCACTCCATAGTGAGGGGGAGCTGGTTGGATAGCTCAGTGAATTAGCTGTGGAGCCAGAGGTTGGGAGTTCAATTCCTCACTGTGCCTCCCAGGGGAGAGAAAGCAGTCATTGTAGCTTAAGACCAGCTGCACAGTCTCAGGGCATCCCCAGAAAAAAAGGATGACTACTCTCTACCTAGAAAACCCTGTAAAGGGACACCATTATGGACAAAAAAAGAAAAGTAGCACCTCGTACATCCGAGCCCTGAGTGGCCTCTTTCCAATATATGTGCACCAGCGGTCCTTTGCGGCCACCAACACCCATGTAACTGCATGGACGCACTCTCAAAGAAAGAGATCCTCATACAGAATCCCACAACTTTTTTGTGTGTATCTCTGGATGTCTGTGGATGAACTAATCTTGACATTCCATGCTACTTGCCACAGTGAAAATGCCCCCATCCATTTCCAGTTTCTCTGGTGCGCCATTTGGAGTATGTTTCTTCTCCAGATCTCAGCAGCTTTTCTGTTGGCAGGTTGTCTTGACAGGCATTTTCAGGATACAGCCTTTCCCACCACCTGCTGTTTTGCCTTTTGTGAATCAGACAGAACATAAACAAAGCTGTCCTGAAAGCTCTCTGAAATGCAGCCAGACTAGCAGTGACCTAACACCATGTTCAAAATATCACAACTTTAAAGTCCAGGTGTGTGTGTGTTTTTTATGTTATTTTTATGAGAAAAATCTAGTGTTTTAAGGCTGATGAATGCTCTTAATGATCTCATAATATCTACATACCGTGTTTCCCCGAAAATAAGACAGGTCTTATATTAATTTTTGCTCCAAGAAACGCATTAGGCCTTATTTTCAGGGGATGTTTTATTTTACAGTCATGTCATCTTCTGGTTGCTGCACAATGGTGGAGGGCGGGGTTTCACTTAACTAGGACTTATTTTGGGGGTAGGGCTGAGATTACGAGCATCCTGAAAAATCATGCTAGGGCTTATTTTCAGGTTAGGTCTTATTTTCGGGGAAACGGTAATTGCTATCTTGTGGACCTGCTCTTTCCTTAGGCTCTGAATTGAGATGGCTGAGTTTAGAAGTAGAACTGCACTATTAAAAAATGAGTAATCTATAAACTTGTGACACCTTATAGACATACAAAATTACATGAAAATGAAAGAAATTACATACAACTGGAAGATTTTTTTTTCACACAATGAAAAATGCAGCTGTGTTTCCATATATGTAGGGTACCCAGTGCGATGTAGTGAACAGAGTGATGGAGTAGGACTCAGGAGAACAAGGTTTGATTCCTTACTTGACCAGGGAAACTGACTGGGGGAATGAAACTGGTATAAAGCACTCCTTAAATGCCATGCCTACCTTCAAAGCCCTGTCAATTTTGACTTGACAGCACATAACAACTACAAGGATCTATGAACTTCTGAATGTTGAGAATTGAAAGATAAGAATTAAGAGTATCTTTCCTCATTGTCTGAAGAAGACACTGCTGGCTTTCTCCAGAACCATTTGTGCAGGCTTCAGCCTGGCCTTGGGCACACCTTTTCCCAGCAGAAATTAAAATGTGCATTGCTCTTCCTAGAATTCTCCAAGGGTAGCAATTCACATTTTAAACTGGTTGCAGGGCACCCTCTGCAAAGCCTGAAGTAGACTTCCAGATCTTTGATTTTTTTTTTGTTTACTTTTTGTGGCAGGTTTTTGGATTTTTGCCAGTCTATGGCCTCGGGGAGGGAGGGTCCCTAGACACTGCCCATCTAAAGCTACCTGTCAAGGAGGATGTAACCATATTCACAACTTAATTGCAAGAAGGACTTTACGACTTTCCATCAGAGGCTGGCATCTAGTTCCACATTTCTACAATTAGGCAAGTTACATCAGGCGCTTTCCTTTTGTTTTTAAACCAATGTGTTCTGGAGTCAAGCCAAAAATACAAGTACAAAGGAAGAGAACACATCAAATAAGACTATTAATTAAAGGGAAAAGGAAGTTGTTGATTATAGTCCTTGACATATCATATGTCATTTTGTGGAACAATTAGACTAAATCAGCCAAAGTAGAATCATACTATGAAGAGATTTTGGTTGCATATACATCATGTAGCTGAATCTAGAAAAAAAGTTTGTGTTTGATCATATGACATAGATCCTTTTTCTCTTTTTGTACAAGACAAATTCAGACAAACTTAAAGGTCTGCCTGATTCTACTTCACTCAAAATCCAAACATCAATTTGGAAGTGCAGGTCTCTACATTTGATTCACTATCATGAGAAATTAACAGATGATTGTGTGTTGCTGTGGCTGTTTCTTGGTTGATATTTTTAGACACAATATCTTTCCGAGGCAGATTTTTATTATTATTCCTGTCCTACAGGGGGGTGGATGTCATCATGACTATGTTGAAGCTAGACATGGCAATTCTGAACAATGACCTTGCATTGCATTCAAACCAATCTCCCAAGATTTTTCGACCAAGCAGTTTGTCTCCTCTCTGCAGTTCTTCTCCCATTCTCCCTCGAGTGATTAACTGTAACAGTCTGTTGCCTTTCTTTCTCATCACATGAACAAAGTATTTTAGCTTCCTGCGTTTTATTGTTCTCTGAGGTTTTGGACTATTTATTCATTTTAGTGCTTCTCACTTCCAAGTCATTTAGTACTTCTTCATTGGTTACCATCTTAGTCCAGGATATTCTTAGCATCCTGTGAAAAACCCATATTTCAAAGACCTTTAACTTCTCTGTATCAAAGACCCCAACTGCATGACAAACTGTGGAAAAAATACAAATAATATAGAGCATCCATCATACATGTGCATTCTCAAAGCCAAATTTCAATTTTTCTTGTATATTACAACCTTCATTGTCATTAACATTTTTATTTCATGGTAGAATTAAATGGAATTTGGTGAGAGCACTACCTCTTCTGAGAGGTTCAAGACTGTCAAATATCAATTGGGCTGTTGGGCACTGAGAATTAGTAACATCTGGAGAGCCACAGATTTCCCAACTGCAACTAGGAATCCTAGCCATCGCACTGTGCTGTTAGGCAAGATTCAGGATACAGGGACAGTAACAACTCTATTGTGTGATTTTTGAAGTGTGACGATAGTTCAGAAAGTGTGTGTGTGTTTTCTGTTTCAAAGGACTAGCCATCGCACTGTGCTGTTAGGCAAGATTCGGGATGCAGGGACAGTAACAAATCTGTTGTGTGATTTTTGAAGTGTGATGATAGTTCAGACAAGTGTGTGTGTTTTTTCTGTTTTAAAGGATTGGTTTCTAGTACTGGACAATTTTCTTTTCCTTTCCTTGTTCAGGAAAGCGTTGATTTGGGGGAGATCATGTTTTCCCTTTGTTATTTGCCTACGGCAGGAAGAATGACCCTCACAGTCATCAAATGCAGAAATCTCAAAGCTATGGACATCACTGGCTCATCAGGTGAGTATCTACCTTTCCACTTAACTTGGTTGTTTTAAATATATGAGAAACTGTGTACAGCCTATACCTTTCTCATACAGTTGAGGAAAAAGTAGTTTTGAGAGCGCGATTTTTGAGTCTGAAAAAGAGTAGATCAGAAAAAGACAGAGCAAAATCAAGAAACAGAATCATCTTTGCGCTAAGAACAACGGAATGAATAAAATCTTATTTAAAATAGGTGTGAATCCACCCAGCATTATTTAAGTTCATATTGTAAGCAACTGCTTTCAGCTACAAATCCATGCATATTGACTTCAAAGTATATTCTGTTCAATATAGTGGGACCTAGTCTGCAATTAAATTTCACTCCATGGAAAGCTGTTAACTTACTTGCACACACAAAAAAGGAAAGGAAAGAACATCCAAAAGTGTTGTCTGCAGGTAGTTTTTTTATTAGGAAAATATGCAGACTCAGCTAATTCAGAATTAGGTTTTCTAATATCTCAGCAGTCTATCAGAACACTAGACGCTGTTCCAAGTCCTCCATGCAGAGCACGTTACTGTAGTCTCTCAAGACTGAAGGATGCCTGTGTGTGTGGTGAGTGCTCTAACACTGGAGGCATTCAAGAGAAATTTAGACAACTACCTGGCAGCTATCCTTTGATTTGTATTCCTTCATTGAACAGGGAGTTGGGCTTCATGGCGTTATAGGCCCCTTCCAACTTCATGATTCTATACTTCATCTGTTTTATTGTTGTATATTCCCCTGTCTTGGAGATATTGTTTGTTACTCTTAGTAGGGCACTTGGATTTTCACTGCCCTGAAAAATCTGGCTCATTTTTTACCATTAAATGGCTCTCCACCGGATCTTTGAAGGAGAATTAATATGAGGACACAGTGGAAGCCATCCATTAACTAAGCAGTAGGATCGCTCTCCACCGGATCTTTGAAGGAGAATTACTAATATGAGGACACAGTGGAAGCCATCCACTAACTAAGCAGTAGGATCAAGCACCCAAAGCATCATCCTACCACAGTTACAGATGGCTTCCACATGTCATTCTATCTTTCAGTTACTGTTAAAAGTAACTTTCCAAGTTCTGCTTCATTGTGAAAATTGTCTGTACGCCTGCCCTTTGCTTCCTGTTGCTAAGCCTTTTCTATAATCTCAGATCCGTACGTCAAGGTATCCTTGATGTGTGAAGGCCGGAGATTGAAAAAGAGGAAAACAAGTATTAAAAAGAACACTCTCAATCCGGTATACAGTGAGGCCATTGTGTTTGACATCCCTCCAGAGAATGTGGACCAAGTCAGCCTCTCCATTGCCGTTATGGACTATGACCGGTATGTTCTCATTCTAGAGATGAAGGGTTTCTACAAAACTTGTAAACTTGCTTTGTATGTAAAACATGGGCTGGCTCAGACTTCACCTTGCTCAGAGAAGACCCACTGAAATCAACGGGACATAATTGTTAAGAGCCATCAAGTGGCATCCAAGTTATGGTTTGACCCTATTAGGGTTTTTCAAAGTATGTGAAATATTTGAGAGGTTTCACCATCATCACCACCACCACCACTCAGTGAGTTTCCATAGCTGAACAAGAATTTGAACCCAGGTCTCCTGATTCATAGTTCAATACTTGCTCCACAACACCACATTGGCTTTCTACATAATTTATGTAGAAACATAGAAGTAGTTGCTATGACTAGTACAAATAATTTTAGGGACAAAATTAGGCATTATACAATTAAATCACACCAATTTCAGCAGGTCTGCTTCAGCCAGGTATAACTCTGGATCCAGTCCCTTCCATTTTACAGCTTCAGCCCATGGTGCTTGAAAGGAATAATGACAAAAGTGAAAAATAAACAGTCAAGTAACCTCAATTTAAAAAACAAACGGCAGATAAAACAACTTTCCCTGATTTTTTTTTCTGTGCTCACTCAGCATGCTCAAACATCATTCAACTTATATGTTTTTGTTTTTAATTCATGCACACATATATATTAAGTACCATGAACATGAGTCCACTCACAAAAATGAGGGGCCAGTTTGATTAAATGTTTCAGGCTTTGCATCATTGTTGACAAACCACCAGGTGCTGATGGATCATATACATTAATAAAAGGTAAACGTTCTCCTCGACAATTAAGTCCAGCCGTGTCCGACTCTAGGGGCCAGTGCCTTTCCTCGTTTGTAAGATATATTAAGTACCATGAACATGAGTCCACTCACAAAAATGAGGGGCCAGTTTGATTAAATGTTTCAGGCTTTGCATCATTGTTGACAAACCACCAGGTGCTGATGGATCATATACATTAATAAAAGGTAAACGTTCTCCTCGACAATTAAGTCCAGCCGTGTCCGACTCTAGGGGCCAGTGCCTTTCCTCGTTTGTAAGCCGATTGATTAGCCGGCATTTGTCCATAGCCACTTTCTGTGGTCACATGACTAGCATGACTGCATCATTGTTGACAAACCACCAGGTGCTTACGGATCATATGCATTAATAAAAGGTAAACGTTCTCCTCAACAATTAAGTCCAGCCGTGTCCGACTCTGGGAGCCAGTGCCCTTCCTCGTTTGTAAACCGATTGATTAGCCGGCATTTGTCCATAGCCACTTTCTGTGGTCACATGACTAGCATGACTAGACATGGAACACGGTTACCTTCCCACCAAGGTAACCATCTGTTTTTGAACTGCTAGATTGGCAGGAGCTGGGAAAAGCAACAGGACCTCACCCCGTCATGTGGATTCAAACTGATGACCTTTCAATGACTAGCATGACTAGACATGGAACACGGTTACCTTCCCACCAAGGTGATACCTAACCATCTGTTTTTGAACTGCTAGATTGGTAGGAACTGGGAAAAGTAACAGGAGCTCACCCCATCATGTGGATTCAAACTGCCAACCTTTCGATCAACAGCCCAGTGGCTTGGGGGTTTAACTCTCAGCAACACCAGCATTAATACTTTGACTCTAAAGCCCCTCAAACAAAGCTTTGAGAAATAACCCATTGAGTACAGTGGACCCTCTACTTATGGAATTAATCCGTATTGGAACGGTGGCTGTAGGTCGAAAAGTCTGTAGGTCGAGTCTCCATTGACCTACAATGCATTGAAAACTGATTAATCCCGTAACCGGCCGTTTTTGTTACATTTTGGTTTTTTTTCCTGGTCTGTAGGTCGATTCTCTGGCTGCAAGTCGCACCTAAATTTTGCAGCCAGAGAAGGCTGTAACTCGAAAAGTCTGCAACTCGAGCCGACTGTAAGTCGAGGATCCACTGTATTCCAGTTGGCTTTGTAAGTCGAGGGTCCACTGTATTCCAGTTGGCTCCAATCCTTTGTCTTACCACTAAATAATGTTAAATTGAATCCTTGTGTAAGTCCTATTAATAAATGACAAAGATTGCAGATTTTGGAATTAAGTTTACCTTCAATTACATCATTATTGTAATTCAACACGGGATAGTGTTGCCCCTATTGTAGTGTAACTATAACTTTTAAATTACTTTTACAGTTATGTAGGTGTGGCCTGGGATGTGGGAGGCGCTGCGGGTTAAACTGCAAAGCCTCTGGGCTGCAAGGTCAAATGATCAGCAGCTCAAATCCAGGCATCGGAGCACAAGGTCAAAAGATCAGCAGTTCAAATCCAGGCATCGGAGCAAGCTCCCGTCCCTTGTCCCAGCTCCTGCCAACCTAGCAGTTCGAAAGCATGTAAAAAATGCAAGTAGATAAATAGGTACCACCTCGGTGGGAAGGTAACAGCATTCCGTGTCTAGTTGCGCTGGCCATGTGACCATGGAGGATCGTCTGTGGACGAACGCTGGCTCTACGTCTTGGAAACGGGGATGAGCACCGCCCCCTAGAGTCGGACACGATTTCAAGGGAAACCTTTACCTTTAGGTGTGGCCATACTCAGTGGTAATGGAGGAATGTCACAAAGAGACAACAACATTTAAGAGTGGGGAATATATTTTCTACTACAAAGCCACCCACCTGTACCAGTGATTTAGTTAAGTAACAATGACTATTTTGTTTCCTTTTTAAAAAAATGGGACAGTTACTGTTCAATGGTACCTGACTACTTTTGAATGGACTTCAGAATTGTAACACTAATTAATTATGGCAAAATTGAAGGGGAGAGGGTGAAAAAGAATTAAAAACAAAAGCACAGTATTGTGATACTTGATAGATTAATATATTTATTTCAGTGTGAACATTTGTGGCTTGTCCCATTCCTGTATCAACAAACCATAGTCAGTTTGTCTGTTATACTGGTCATTAGGGTATATGGACAAAGGGCATGTCTGAAGATGTGGATTTTGGTCCATGCAAACTCACTCTAAAACAAATCTGATACTCTTTAATGTATGCATTGTGCATCAACAAGTCGATCTGTTTTATGGCAACCTTTTGTAGGTTTTTCCAGTTAGACAATAAGAGAAGTGCTTTAGCATTCTCTTCTTCTGAGGATGCCCTGGGACTGTGCAGCTTGCCCATGGCCACACAGGCTGGCTCTTCTTCCTGGAGACACACTGGGTAATCGAACGCCCAACCTCTGGCTCCACAGCCAGATACCTAACCACTGACCTATCCAGCCAGTTATTCTGTAAAGTGGCATAATATTTTGCTGTTCTTTTTCTCTCGTTCTCTCACTTTAATTTTGTCAACATGCTGAGATTGACCATCACAACGGTTTCTTTAGATATAATGAATTACTTTTACCCTGAAACTGAATTGGTCAACAGACTGGTCCTGTTTAGCCTGGGTCAGGATTTACGGACAGTTGTTATGTTTTCAGCTTCCATTACCAAATAAAAAGTACATTTTGCTCTCATGCTTAATGGAGATGATTTTATAAATGTTTAAAAGGAATATCTGAAAATGAGTCTGGACGCAGAAGCCAAATAATTAACCTAGAAAGTCTGCTTTCCTCAAGTATGCCTATATGAGGTCATTAGAAAAACAGCAGTGTATATGTTACAATTTAATGGAAGCATTTGCCAGGAAAAAAAATCAGCCCTCCTTTACCTTTATTTATTCAAATGAGTTTCTGGACTTTTTGGGTATGAGAATATGCTTGATAGCATATGGTATGTTCTTGCACTGGCTCAGAAATCGATAAATAATGTTTTCCATTGTCATTTTTTAAGGCTTTAGTGTCCTGCTTTTCCTTCTACTTCCTCATAATTAGCAGAGGATAAATAGGAATGTAAGGGACGTGGTGGCACTGCGGGTTAAACCGCAAAGCCTCTGAGCTGCTAGGTCGTAAGATCAGCAGTTCAAATCCACATGATGGAGTGAGCTCCCATCGCTTGTCCCAGCTCTTGCCAATCTAGCAGTTCGAAAGCATGTAAAAATGTGAATAGATAAATAGGCACCACCTTGGTGGGAGGGTAACGGTGTTCCGTGTGTAGTCACGCTGGCCACATGACCACGGAAACTGTCTACGGACAAACACTGGCTCTATATCTTGGAAATGGGGATGAGTACCACCCCCTAGAGACTGGACAATTTGTCAAGGGGAACCTTGACTTTGACCTTAAATAGGAATGCAATTTTCATCTGACTCTGACATATCCTCCTGACCCTTCGTACTTGCCACCCAAGGCCATTGCCTCATTCTGCCCAGTAATAAGCACTCAGCCCTAAAAGTATCAGATATTTCTTGACTTGCATAATTTCTAGACTTCATAGACTCTAGATATTCTTATTGAAGGACATGGGTATTCTAGCCATAATTTCTATTATTTTACAGCATATTTTAATGTTGATGATATGCAGATACTGAAAATAAAATTTAGGAATTCCTTTTTTTTTCTTTAACCCAGAGTAGGGCACAATGAGGTGATTGGGGTATGCAGGACCGGACTTGATGCAGAAGGACTTGGAAGGGACCATTGGAATGAAATGCTGGCATATCCCCGGAAGCCGATAACCCACTGGCATCCCTTAGTAGAGGTAAGTTAAATACAATGCCTGTATAGTTATTGTTCCTTTCTATTTAATCCCTTGGTTAGGCTTCAGTTCAAATGTCTGTGCCAAAAAAGGAAGTCACAGAACCAGCCATAGTTATTTGGAGAGGTGCTAGTTGTACAGCCATGCACACTACGGGCACACAACTGTTGCCTTGCCAAATAGCCACAGCTGCTTCCGTAACATCTGTTCAGAGCACAGATAGTCAAACAGGATTCTGGCCCTTGTGTCCAATTAATAATAGTAAATGTGTGCAATCAAATCAGTTCTGACTTGTGTCAAACCTTTCTAAGGTTTTCTAGATAAGAGAGTACTGAGAAGTGGATTACTATTCGCTTCTTCTGGGAGCGTCCTGGGACTGCGCAGCTTGCCCAGGGCCACACAGCCTGGCTCTTCACCAGGAAGATGAGTGGTAAATTTATCTCCCAACCTCTGGCTCTGCAGTCAGACAAGTAACTCACTGAGCTATCCGGGCAGCTTCTATCCAAATAGGTCTCTTCATTTCATTGGATATCATTTTTTTAAAGATAAAAATGGGGAAGGAAAAGAAAATTGCAGAACACCATATGAAAGTAAACCTGGGAGAAGATGCAAAACATCATTTTGTGGGAAATAATGTTAGAAAGTGTCATTTGCCTTTCCCATGTCATTAAAACATTTGAAAAAGCCCATTGACCAAGGTCTCCCAGTTGCTGGGGGAACATCAGTGGAGAAGGCTTCTTGGGTTCCTACCCACCTTGTGGACTTCCTACTTGCATCTGGCTGGCTGCGACAGGAGAAAGGCAGTATGGAAATGAAACCAATAGCCAAACAAATAATGGTGAGAAGCAGAACTTTGGATTTGATAGATCACTGGATCCATCAAGTTCCTTCTTGATGTTCTTATCATTTGTTCCAGCTGCCAGGCCGAGCAACCAGTTTTGACAGTCAAGGATCATGCTCATCACCGAAACCACCCCTTACTCCATAGAATGAGCCAGAAGTATCTGATGATCAGGATGACGAGATCCCCATACCTATACGCAACTGAAGGTTTGGGCCTCACCGATGATCTGCATCCACATGATCTGCATTATAATCTTAATGCATTATGATATTATTTCCTTAGGGTCCCATGGTTTTTAACTTGAGTTATGGACACAGAAAAGTGATCATTATCACTTCTTTCCTTCTCTGAACAAAGTGTTTTAAAGAACAAATATATATATATCTGAAAGGTCTTGGAAACATACTCATCTTTGAGATAACATGAATTTCATCAAATTTTCTTTTGCACATTTGACAACCTGCCTCTAAGTTATCACAATTTTATGTAATACATGGTTAGGAAATCAGATTTACCACTGGGTGAATATTTTACGGACAGTCACCTTCAGTTATAGTTCCCAAATGCCGCATTTTAATCTCTAGGACAGTGTTTCCCACCTGGGAGTTCTGACCGCCAAAGAGGTCACAAAGTTTTTTCTGGGAGGTTGCGGGACACCTTATATGTGTTGTAACCCTTGTTAAACAATTCCTTCCTTGACCTTTCATAGTGGAATATTAAAGTTAGCATCTATGTGGTATGGATGAAAAACAGGTCCTTTGAGGAGGGGGAGAAAGAGGCCTCTCTTTTTGAGATGGGATGACTTTACCCCATTAAAAATGCCTTTTTATGCAAATATAGGGGGGTTACAGGTTACTTGGGTATTATAAAAGGGAGTCACTGATTCAAAAAAATTGGGGCTACTGCTCTAGAGCAACTGTGGTAGAACCTTGGAGATACAGGGCTCCGCAGATCTGCCACTGCCCCCCAAAAAACAAAATTGAAAGTGACCAGAAGTTCACTTCCCACTTTGTTTTTTAAAAATGCCTTTTAAAAAAAACAGATTGCAAGGGTGCCATGCTTTGCTTTAAAAGCAAATCACCGCTTCTGGAGGCTTCCAAAAGTCACAGTTCCAGCACCACCACCAATTGTTATGGGGTGAGAGTCAAGGGGGGCTTGGAAAGTCCAGGGGGTCAGGGCACCACACAAATGTATACGGTAAAGGCTGCATTTGGGTCACTGGTCATGTGATTTCCACCTGTGCTATTGGGCTACTATTGCAAACAAACAGGCTTAGATGGATGAAAGGAAAAACAACACAAGGTTTTGTGACACTTTAAAGATAAACACATCTTCTTTCACAGCAGATTTCATGGACCATAATCAAGGTTCTCTCCAAGGTGCACGCCTGCATGACTCCGTTCCCTCCACACCACGTTCTTCCTCCTCCGTGCACCCACCCAAAGCAATCGTTTTCATCCCCTTTGGTTCCAGTCACAACGGAACCCCACACAAGGGGGCAGAGTCATGTGCTCAAGAGGCAGAGCCCCACCCATTGGGATTTAAAATTAGAGGGAATGTTGACTGTAACCCACATCTTTAGATACATCTGCAGAAACAGGCTACTGTTTGCAAAAAATTTTAGTCTTTAAGGTGGCACATAGCTCTCGACTGTTTTGCCTGCTACAAACTAACAAGGGCATTCATTTGTGGGCAGGCTAAGCCCACAAATATTCATAATATTCAAAATATTATGAAAAGACTTAACACTAAGAGGGAACTACATTTCAGCACTCCTTCATTTCCATGACCAGTAGTGGCATAAAAGCACTTGTAATATGAAGGGGAAGAAGGAAGGATATACTGTAAGCAAGATAGCATTGCTGTCTGTTGATCTTGCTTCTGTCTCTTTTGCTTCTGATTAATGAAGAGGAGGAAACGAGTAGACTAGTGGGAACCCAGGTGGCAACTGCAAGTGACAGATTTAGCCCAGAGTTAACCATTGATTGGGCTCGGAAATGTTCTCCCACAATACCCCTGCTAGCACACCTCCAGAGATGTCTCGGGTAGGGGATCCTAAGAGCTTTGGACCCATAAAGTAATGATACCAATCTTTGCCACTACCCTGCATATACTTCCCCTATTAGCAGTAGTACATGACATGGTTTAATTTTCTGGTGCATCCTGTCCACTGATTTCAAAGTTATTCTGACTTTTCAGTCTTTAACAAAAAAGACCTTTTGATGCTTTTGATGCTACATTTTTGTAGTGAGATACTGTAAGATTTAACTTAAATATACTTTGCACTGTTTTTCACCTACTATTCCCCTCAAACCCCTATCAAGTTTGCCAACAAATGTAGCACTAGCGTTCTGTAAAGAACATATAATTTTTTTATCTCATAGGTTTTTATTAATAATCATAGCTTTTATTGTAACTGAGAAGTATTTTAACTGTTGTGGTTTTATTTAAACTATTATCCAACATCAAAGGAATAAGCAGAGCTTGGAAACGTTACTTCTCTGCTGCAGTGCCCAGGATCTTACAGCCAGCCTGGCCATGGGCTTAGTTTGACTGGGAGATTCTGTGTGTTGTAATCCTTTAAAAGTTTATTTTTGCACACTCTGGAATTAATATTTCAGTTTGTGCCCTTCTCCTCAATGTTGTTCATTTGCCGTTGCAATCCTATCCACACATTTTTGGGTATAAGTCCCATGGAACTCAACAACACACAGCAGTGAAGGTTCGGCTTCTGTCGTGGTGAGAGAACATCCAGCCATAGAAAGCAAAATGTGAGGAAGACGCTCCATAGAAAGGACTGGGTGTAGGTAGAGTGGCCCAAATTGCATCATTCTTTCCTTTAAGGATTATAGAAGTAAGCTTTCATGCATGTGGAGTTCCTGTGTCTCAGGCTATTTTGGAGTGCCTGATGGGGAACAAAATCACACACACACATTCTTCAAGCAGGTGCAGGGATCATCATGTAATTCAGATGTGAATCTATAAGGGATCAGCTGCAGGGATGCAGTGGAGCACAAAATAACATGTGCTTGGGTTACACTGGAATCCAGGGGTTTTACGCATGACAAGAACCCTCTGCATGTCTGCATGTGATGGAATGGGACTGAAAGCAAGGGTTACACAGAGCTCAAGTTATCTGTTGTAGTATGGATCAACTGTGAGGCTCATCACCTCTAATATGAATTAGGCCTATGCATGACAATGCAAACAAACTTTGTGTTCACAGAATCTTGCTCTCCTTCCAGGCGATGTAATCATTGAAAGGGAAAGCCACAGGTCTTCCCTGTACGTCATGGAGCTGGCTTATACTTAACACTGAAAGGGAAAGCCACAGGTCTTCCCTGTACAAGGTCATGGAGCTGGCTTATACTTAACACCATGTCAAACAGCACATACATACCCATAATAAATGTGTATAGGATTGCAACCTGTGCTCTTTAGTAAGAGCTGCAGCTCGAAAACAGTGATGCTGCTCTGTACTTTGTATCAGCATAAGCTGAGGACATTTTTTTTAACAAGCTGAGGGCAGTTTGAAAGAAGGGATAGTTGTACAGTTTCATCCCACTGTCTTTTACAGTAGACGGGTTCTGCAGGATTCTACCTGTTTTTTTTTTTTAAAAAAAAAACCTTCAACGCTTGTTTGACCAGAGCTTGATGTGGGACAAGAAAGATGTGCGGACACCACAGGAATGAATGCCTCCCTCAAGCGATTTGTAATTTTCTTCAGAACTATTCTCTATATTCAGATTTTTAAAAGGATTCCTTTCTGTCTGGCTTTGAAAATATAATGCCAGCTGTAAATGACTTGCTCTTCCTTTATCGGTGTTGTGTTTCAGTACTGTAACTGTGGGTATTATTATTTTTTTTGAAAAATTGATCCTTGAGCCCAGTCTTGCAAAGATTTATGCATCTGCAAAAACTTACTCATGAGAGTAAGTCCAGCGATATCAGTCAAACTGCTCATTTGTTATGCACAGAATCTTTGCTAAACTCATCCCAAGCTGAAATTCAGTAAATTCAAGTGGATAAATGAGTATTTATTTCGTTGTCTTTAAATCAGGAATATTCTTACAATAGAGAGGTGCAGACGAATCAAACAGAATTTTGAATTCCTGTTTTTGCATTTTATTTGGTGCTGTAAAAGTGGTATTTTAAATAGATTGTGGGTGATAGATTAGAAAATATGTTTGCATCAGATTGCTTCAGGGAACAGTAACGGCATGAAAAGTGTGTGTTATACTTAGAGATGGGCACGAACTGCCAGTTCAGCAGATTGTGCAGATTCGTTTGTTGGCCAAACAACTGTTCGGCACTTCCCAGGCCCACCTCCTCTGGTGGCCGCCCACTGAGAGGCACTGCCTGGAGGAGGCAGGGCAGGGAAGCCACGGCACTGCCTCTGAGCAAGTGCCTGACAGAGGAGGTGAGCCTGTGAAGCACCAAATACCGGTTTGGGCCTATAAACAAACCGCCACAAACTGGCAGTTTGTGCCCATCTCTAGTTATATTCAAAAAGCAAATTATTCCAGGACCACCAGTAAAAGGAACTGGATTCAGTGTCCTAAATTTACATTTATTTTTGCACAGACGAAGTGCTATTCGGAGGGAGCTTACAGAATGCCAAGAAATGATTACTACCATAAAGAGCAGGGGATGTGTACAGCATGCTGTTGTTTCTCTCCCTCCACCCCCACTCCACCCCACCCCATATCTCCCAGATTAGATTAAAATGTGTTTTCATAAATTCTACATAGTTTGCAATAACTGGAGAAGGCTACTTTGTGTTATGCTATCCAGATTGCAAGAAAATATATACTCATGCTAGTGCCACATATGCAGACAGTAACACTTCCTTGATTGATTGATTGATTGATTGATTGATTGATTGATTGATTGATTTCATATTTATTTGTTTGTTTCATGCATTTATTTCATATTTATTCCAACGTTTTTCTCAGTTCAGGATGACATGATTTTTTTTCCTCTTCCACACAAACACATACGTATATAAACCTTCCACTTTGGAAAAAATTGAATTACTTTATTCACAATCAGGAACCCTTTGGCTCAAATCCTGTTGCACTGTTACGCAAAAGGCATAACTTTTGGAGGCTAGGTTGCCACAAATTAAGAAATCTTGGTAGACATGAAATGCAACAGATCATGTTTACGGAGAGTTCTTAACTTGTGGCAATTCACTTCTGAAAGTTATGCCTGTTGGATAACTGCACAG